TTGGAAACGCACGAGGCCGGCTCGCAGGAACAGGCTTCCGGGAGTGTGGCGGTGCTTCCTGCCGCTTATCAGTCCGGCCTCCTCCTCCTGGCCACCCCGACAGAATGTCTCATTGTACCTGCGCTCTGGAATCTCGCCCCCAACAAACGCCGATTGTTCTCACTCCCGGGCTTCCTGGTTTGCGCTCAGTTGGAAGTGCTGATATTAACCGTATTATGTGCAGTGCAACGCTGGCCAAAGAACCAAACCAAACCCCTGACCGGTGGCGACAAACAAACCCGGCGGCATGAGGAGTTGTCCTAGAAGGTATCAGCCCAGAGGCAGCAGGTGGAACAGTTGTTCGGGTCGGCAGCCCCGGAAGATGGGATCACACCGCCCTGCGCGTGGCTTGCTGCCCAGCCTGGCCAGGCTGCATTGCTCTGCTCCTCCCTGGAAAGGGGGTGCGGGAGGGAGGGCAGCACCGGAAGCACCCACCATCCTTCAGGCCTGCGTTTCTTTCTTTCTCAAAGTCATCCAGTGAGCCAAGTGATGACAGACCTGAAGGAACACAATTAGGAGCTGAGACGAAGACACCAGCAAGAAAGGGCAGAAGAGATAGAACAGTACTTGTGCTGACCCTGGTTTGAAACCCACCCCTGCATCGGGTCCCCCGAGCACCCCTGGGTGTGGCTCGGACTGCCTTCCCCATCCCACCTCCAAGAGAAAAATACAAAAGAGAGTGACGTAGAAAGAAGTCTCTCTTGGTCATTGTTCTAGCCCATCTACCAGGCCTTCCTTCCTTTTAAATTCACTGTCACGTTTTGCCTTCCCAGGTCATTCTCCTTTGGTGGGTTCTGGGGTCCTTTGGGGAGTTGAGACTGTGTCACAACTGGGCACTCCGCGAATGTCCAGTTCTTCTCTTCTTGTCTTCTACCTATCTCTAAGCAACAGCTTGAAATGCTGCTTTTGGAGGAGGGGGGCAGAGGGGCAACACCCAGCAATGCTCGGGGGTTATCCTGATTGCACTCAGGAATTACTCCTGGCAGTGCTTGGGGGGCATATGGGATGCCGAAGATCGAACCCAGGTCGGCCACGTGCAAGGCTGATGCCCTCCCTGCTGCGCTATGGCTCCGGTCCGTGTGCTCCTAATGCTTTGCCTGGAGTTCTCTGTGGTTCGGGGACATCGGGTGGATGCCTCTTGCTTTAATGAAGGCAGTAGTATAGTGGACGCGTCATGAGCGCTCTGAAGGCCCGCACACTTGAAGTGCTCAGCGAGGTGCTAGAGAAACAATGAAGTGGATGCGACAGAGACTTCTCAGAGGATGTGGGGGCCTGGGGCCAAGGTCACCTGGATTTGCACATTTATCTGCTCTCAGACTACAAGTGCTTATTCAGCTGCTCTGCCAGAGTCCCCCGGTCTGGGGAACGAGGAATTGGAGCAAATGCTTGAATGACAGACCAGGAAGGGTGTGTGGGACTGAACGTGGTACCTCTGAGAGAAAAGGAACCGCTTCAGCTGTCACATCAAGGGCACGGGATCCCATCAAGGGGTTGAACTGTCAGAACAGAGATTCTACTTCAAAGAGATTTTTTTGGCAGGATGTTTGGGCCACATTCTGCAGTGCTCAGGGCTTACTCAGGGCTCAATACTCAGGGATCTCTCCTGGCAGGCTTGGGGGACCATATGGGGTGCTGGGGATCAAATGGGTTGACCACGTGCAAGGCAAGTGCCCTATGCTCTGTGCTCAATCATTCTGCCCTCCCCACAACCCCAGCAAAATATTTTTCAGGAGCTGTGCGAGAACTCAGTAGACAGAGTACGTACCGTGCATACAGGAGCCCGGCGTTCAGTCCCTGAGCACTGCTTGGAGTGATCTCCGAGCACAGAGCCAAGAGTAGTCCCTGAGTACCACTGAGTGTTCCTGCCCCACCCACCCTCCACCAGCTAAACTATATAGTGCCAATGGCCAATCCATTAATTAGTACCTCCTTTTAGAATCACTTCTCAGGAAGAAGATCCATTTGTTTTTTAAAGTGTTAGGACACAGCCTTTCCTGGAAATCTTCCAGCCTTGAGTTAATTAACTGCACTTTGGAAGCTGTGAAATCTTAACATATCACTCGGGTCCAGAGAGGTCTGGAGAGAAAGCACTGAGACTCAGCAGGGTAACACTTTAGAAAATGTGTGTGCGCCCAGCCAACAGCTTATCTAAGCGCTAGCTGGAGCTCAGAAGACAGTTATTACAGGAAATCAGTGTTGAAAGATCAAAGGGAACGTCCAGTTCTCATCCCAGTCCTTTGTGGGGAAGAGGCTGGAACCCAGACAAGCCCGGTCCCTCCTCCAGAATTCTGCACTTAGTACAGCTCAAATCAGGGTCTTGCGTCCAAGAACAGGGTAGGAAGCCACATTCCACACATCAGGTGCGAGGGTGTGTGGGATAACAGTGGCTGTTTCTGAGGAGGAGGATGGACGGTTAGGAGAGGGGAGGGTGGAGGTGTAATCGTCACATTTTTATCCCTCGTGAAGTTTATGCCAGAGGCATCTTACCTAATTGAAAACTTAATGTACTTAAGCTCACTACTCACGCCCGTGTTCTCTCTGAACACACTTTTCACTTGCTTGTCTGTTTCTTTGCTCTAGTCCCACACTAGAGAAGCCCATGTTCTCTGTCGAACACAGTTCTCTTTCTCCTCTCACTTTCTAAACAAATTTCAATAAAAACTATCAGAATATAAAATAAAAATTATTTTTAAGATGTCACTGGAGTGCTGTGTTTGTTTCTCCCCCCCCCCCCAGGTCCCCCACTTTTGTCTACTGTTTGTGTAAAATGTCCTGGACTAGGCTACTCCCAGGGGGAAATTATTTGGCAGGAACGAGATGAAGTGCTTTGGAAGGGGCTGTGGCGGCCGGTTACTACTTTGTGGCTAAAAGAAGAACCTCCTGAACCTCAAGCCAATGCTCTTCCAGAGCCCCAGCTTCCTGCCAACTCTGGCACTGTCTGGCAGGGCCAAACCCTGAGAAAACACAGCAGTTAGCAGCCAGTGATTTCATTCACATCGGAGCAGGATGTAGTCACTGACAGACCTTAATGGAAAGGCCCCTTTTGCCAACATTTCCAGGACAACGGGAGCAGCAAAGGCGGGAATCCAATGCCATTCACTAGTAAGCACCTCATTGGACCGAGTGCCTCGGTTAGGGGCAGAATCTCTGGCTGCTCCCTGTTCTCAAGGAACTGTTGCCCAGTAGAATGAAAAGGGCTGTGTCCAGAGGGCATGTAACAGTGGGAGAGCTAGCTGGCTGTGGGACTGTTTCCAAATACAGCATTAGGTGAGAGGGGAGTTAGTATTCCGTGAGCCTCGAATGGGAAGATGAATGAGACGGAAGGGACTCAAAACTTCCCCAGCTCGTTTTTCTACTGGGGTTTAAATTTTAAATACCGGTTAATGTGGAAAATTATTAAGTGGTATTATAACTCAAAGCTGACTTTATAATCCTGCCACTTCCTGTGCGGTCAAGGAAAGATTCAAACCTTCACCAGGTATTGAGTTTATGGAGTGCTGGGCGTTGTGGAGCAGAAATGAAATTTGTGCCTTTCCTGTTGGGTATCTACATATACCTACCCACAATCTTGTGCTAAAAATAGCATTTTTAGCAACTACTATGCAAACAGTTCAAGGCTGTCATTATTTTAGCCTCTGATCTTCTAAATGCGGCCCCTCAACCTCACGGGTAGCATCGTGTGTTACGTGCTCCCGGTATGGGCACTCTAGGTAGTGCTTTTTTTAAACTGCTCAAGTCTCATCCCCCATTAGTTATAGAGGAGGAGCCTTCCAGGGATGAACTAATTTGTGCTATTTAATCACACAAGGATTCAGATACAGGGTGATTTGAAAATGCCAGGCACATCATGGCTAGCCCCTGCCTCTTGAAGTTTACGGTCCTTAAGTCCTCTTTCCTGTTACCAAAGCCCATGGTCTTGACATTGACTATACTCTTTCCCCAGATCTGTGCAAAGAAGAACCACGTTTTCTCCTGAGAAAAATGGGCAAACCCAAGAGATCTGGCCAGGGATCCCTAGTTTTCTATCCTTGTGCTTATTAAAATCAATATTCTGACCTCTGCTCAGACGATAAATTCTGTACCCTTAAGAAATATAAACAGCAGTCTGGAAGTACAGGGTGTGATAACAGACTGGGTCATTTATTAATGCCTGACCTTGAGCAAGTAACGCGCCTAAACTGTCCCCCCCTCCTCTCCCAGACCGCATCGACCCCGCTTTGGAAAATCAGGCACGCGAGCTAATTTAGTTCTGCTTGTAGGCAGAACTAAACGGAAGGGCGGACCCACCTGGTAGGTACTGCGCATTGAATGAAAAAAAAAAATATTGTTGGTACAAGTAGGATTAGGGAGCAGAGGAAAACCACACGGGCAGTGCGTTAAGAAGCCCCACGTTATCAGGCTCTGCTGGGCAGCATGCTGGACAACTGTGTGCGGAGTGTGATAGGTGCTGTTTGGGGCACACCTGAGCAGTATCAGCTGAAGTTAATACAGGTGCATGAACTTCTGAAAGCAAGGTCAGCCCCAGCGAACTAAGAAGTTCCGTGCAGGTCGGGAGGGCGTTCAGATCCCATCCCGACAATTCCCCTGCCAAGCTGCCGCCCTCAGCCCCCTCCAAGTCTCGGCGAGCTGAGGCTGTCGAGCGGCCTACGGGCACAGCGGCCCGGCGAAGCGCAAACGGTGCCCGGGCAAACCTGCCGTCACGGACACGGAGCGTCGCGCCTAACGCGCGCGGCTCGAGCCCACGCCCGGGGTCCGGCGCCGAGACCCCGCTCCGCCCCCTCTTCCTGGTTTTTCGCGGCCGCCCGCCCCGCCCGCGTCACGTGACGGGGTGCCGGGCCGGGCCGCGCCCCTGATTGGCCGGGCCGCAGGGCGCCTCGCGATTGGCCCGCGGCCGGCGGGCCCCCGCCTCCCTCCTCCTCCTCGCCGCGGCCCACGTGAGGGGGGCGAGTCACGCGATTTCCGGGAACCCGTCAGGAAGGACATAAACAAAACAAACCGAGGCAGCATGGAGAGGGGCCGCGGTCCCTGCCGCCGAGCCCGCGCCGGGCCCTGAGCCGCCCCGACACGCACGGGTGAGTCCCGCTGCCCGCGCCCGGAGCCCGCCGGGGCTGGCGCCGGGGGGCGAGCCGGGCGGGGGCCCAGGGGGCGGCCGGCCTAGGAGGCGGCCGCCCGGGGGCTCCGGGCCGGCGCGGGGCGGGGGCGGGGGCCGCGGCCGGGCCGGGGGCGCGCGCGGGCCGCGGCGGCCGCCGGCCGGTCACGGGGCGCCGGCTCCCCTCCCCCCACCCCGGCCCGGGACGGTTATATAAAGGCGCGGGGCGGCGACGGAGGGGAGCGCGGGGCGGCGGCGGCGCGGGCGGGGCGGCGGTGCGGGGCGTCCGCCGTGCCCGGCCCCCGAGCCCGGGCCCGGGGCCGCCGGCCACCGGCCTGTCAGCGCGGCGAGCGGGTGGGAGGGGCCGCGGCGGGGAGGGGAGCGGGCCGCGGGGGAGGAGAGAGGGGAGGGTGCGCTGGGGCCGCCGCCGCCTCCGGCGCTGCGGGCGGCCCTGCGGGGGCCGGGAGCGCGACTGCGGCCGAGGGGGTCCGGGCGCGGGCGTCCCGGCGGGGGCCGCGCCCCCTCCGCGTCCCCGCCCCAGCGGCGGCCGAGGGGGGCCTCCCTCCGGGATTTGTTTATATGTCGGCTCCGGGCGGCCCGGAGCGGCGGGGAGGCGGGGCCCCGGGCGCCGAGTGGCAGGCGCGCCGGCCAATGGGGCGGGCGGACGCGGGCGGACGCGCCAATGGGCGCGGGGCAGGCGGTGCCGCCAGCGCCCCATTGGTTGGGCTGTGCCGGGGGGCCGGCCGGGGGGCGGCCATGTTAGATGGGAGGGGACCGGCGGCGGAGGGTCGCCCAGGGGGGCGGAGACTGGGCGGAGGGCGAGGGGGCGGGCGGGGTGGCGGAGGGGTCGCGGGCGGAGCCGGAGCCGCCCCGCCGGACCCTGCCCGCGTCTCCCCGGACCCGGGCGCCCGAGAGCCGCGCCGGGCGGGGCCGCCGTCGCGCGTCCCGCCCGCCCGCCCGGGACAACCTGGGCCGCCGCCGCCCACGTAAGCGGTCGCGTCGCCGGCCCCGCGCGAACGCGGAGTTTTCCTCTCCTTTTTCGCTTCCGTTCTTTCTTTTTTTCTTTTTCTTTTTTAAGGTTTTATTTATTTTTTTTGGGGGGGGGGGCTTTGTCTTGTTTCTGGCTTTGATTTTTGTCTTTCCGATGCCCTGCAGGTGAGGAATAGGACCCGGCCCCGACCGGCTGCTTTTTCCCATGCAAAACTTGCGACCCGCGGCCGGCGGGGCCGTCCTGTGGTCGTGTTTCAGGGACCCCCGCCCCGCGTCATTTTCGACCCCCAGGAGCCGGGAGAGCCGCGGACGCCCGTGGGTTTTATTTTCCAGCCCCCGTCTCTCCCCCGCCTGCGACCGGGGCGGCTGCTGGCCGTGCGCGGCGCGTGGCTTAACGGTCGCCCGCGCTGCTTGCTCCGGCGTGTGCGGGACCCGCGTGCACCGCGACCTCGGGCGGGCGCCCCGGCGTCCACGCGTGTCGCGGCTCTCACCGGGTGGCACGTACTCGGGAGCCGGCTTCATCGTCTCCTTGTTGATTGGGGAAGCGCAGTGGGTCAATAAGTGAGAGCTGGCGGTTTCCGCCTGCGACTGGCCGCGCGGGGCTCAGGATTTCGTTAGCGTGTCGACGTACGTGCCCCGGTGCTGCGGCGGGGGGCTCCGGTCCTCCCCGAGAGCAAATAAAAATATTAGCTCGTTTTGGAAATTTTTGTTTCATCCGTCGTTGTTTGTGTTGCTTTCGCCAGCCCTGGCTCTTTAGGATGCCCAGCGAGGTCGTAGAAAAGGAAGAATAACGGAACTTAACATTGAAGTCGCTTCGTGGGCGACTTGTAATTCTTATTCGAGGCTGTTAACTGTGAATTGAGTGAGCGTTGCTAATATGCTGTTCTCTTTTTTCTAAGGATGACAGGTAGATCTAATAGAGTTTTTTTAATGTAATTTTATATAGACAGCTTTCAGTTTTTTGCATTTTGGGTTTTTTTTTTTTTGTTAAAGACTAGTAAGTGCAGGAGCTACACACATTCGTGGAAAGGGATTTGAAATGTGGGTGCTTCACTTACTATCCCAGTTCTGCCGTCATTGCAGGTGAAAACTTTAACTTGGCAAGTGAAAGCAAACTTACTTTTAAGTGGTTTCCTGTTTAACGAGTTAACAGTGTTTGTGAGTTCTTGGGTGCCAGTGTAAGGAATAACGGAATAATTAGAATGACTCCTGGTGTAGTGACTTAAATACAAAGGGCAGTGGTCGTAAAAGGCGTCTGCACGGTGAGAGAGGACAGCGGGTCAGAGGCTTTCTTATCCTTGGCCAACCAGTCCTGTCTCCTGCATCCCACACAGCCCCCTGAGAACCCGCAGGAGTGATTCCTGAGTGTAAGCTGGAAGTAACCCCAGAGTAGTGACCCCCCCCCCCCAAAAAAACGGGAGTTTGTATGTTGCATCTATTAATGTGGCAGTTTTTTTTAATTTACAGAACAGATCCACCATTTGCAGTTAAAATTGAGATTTCAATTAAGATTGTCAATGATTGGAAGAAATGAACAGAGATTTTTTTTTCTTGTGGAGTTTTGTGTTTGTTTTGGAGCCACACCAGCCGATACTGTAGTGCTCAGAGCTAACTACTGACTCTGTACTCAGAGATCACTTCTGGTGGGCTCTGTGGACCGCTTGGGGGTGGTAGATTGAACCTGGCTGGGCTGTGTGCACAGCAAGCACTCTCCCGCTCTCTTTACTGTTGCTCTTGTTCTGTTTCCTTGTGGATTGGTACCTGGATATTTTTAGGAAGAATTCTGACTCTCCTACTAAATTAGTAGTTAATCTTCCAGGGTAGATAGATTCTTAAAAGAGCTGTGAATTTGTTAGATTATTAGTTCAGAGAATTCTGAGAGGGTTGACAGACTTTTTCTGCACTGGTCGTAAATATTTAGACTTTGTACATTGTATAATCTCTGTCACAACCGATCAGTTCTGTAAACTGTAGCCTGAAGACAGCCATAAATGTTGCATTTGAGCATGTATTCCAATAAAACTTCATTTGCAAGAGGAGGCTGTGACTGAAAAACTGCAATTGGTTCATCAGTCCCTATTCCAAAACATCAGTCACTTAGAAACAAGTTCTTATGCATTCAGATGTTGTGGAATACTTAAGCATACATTTCAGGTAGTTTCTGGGCAGAATGTGCATGTCTCTTCATTTGGGGACCTTCACGATTAATTGCACAGACCACATTGCATTATTTGGTTTTGTGTCTTTAAGGTTAGGGGCCCCAGCAGTGCTCTTAGTGCTGCAGAGGAGGGAGGAAAGAAGGTTCCAGATGGGGCTCTGGCCAAGAGGTCTGCATGCAAAGCTTGTGCTCCAGCCCTCTGAGCCATCTTCGGTTTTTGTTTCTTTTGCATTCTTTTTTTTTCTTTCGCTTTTTGGGTCACACCCAGCAATGCACAGGGGTTACTCATGGCTCTGCACTCAGGAATTACCCCTGGCAGTGCTCAGGGGACCATGTGGGATGCTGGGAATCGAACCCAGGTCGGCCGCTTGCAGGGCAAACGCCCTACCCGCTGTGCTATTGCTCCAGCCCCCTCTTTTGCATTCTTTTATTCCTTAAATTTCATTTGCGAATAGATGTTTTTTGGGAAAAAACTAAGTGTTGGTATGTTAGTCTTATTTATTTTAAAGATGCAATCTGAAAAGCACTTTAGTTTTAGATGAACCTTAATATACTGGAACCGTAAGAATCTTAATATATCGAAAGATAGGGTTCTACTGAGATTTAACAATAAATTTAATGCATTCCTGACAACTGGGTATAGCTCCTTAAGAGATGTTGGTCAAGTGAGTGGTCAACACGCATAGTTTAAAATTTTTTTTAATATATAGTCACCCATGAGCCTAATTATTGGGTGCTCAGGCCAGCAGTGCAGTGCTACTTGAGCCTGGTGGGTTTGGTGGCCACCAGATTCTCACCTGGAAGTGCTTGGACCCAGCTCGTGCCAGGCACGTACTCTACCACTCGAATTCTCTCCCCAGCCCCAAGACTCTTAGCTTATACTCAGCTGTGTCATGCAGTTAATTGGAAAGTCACCTTGATTGTGCCGTCCTCTGAGATGCTTGTAGACCTGTCTAAATTGGGTAGGATGCTTCTTCAAAAGGGCTCAAAAGTCATAGCTTGCAAAGTGTCAGGTGGTCCTAAATGCCCAGCAGAGATGCCTGTGCTAATTATATTAAATATATGTGTGGACATTTAATGTCTTCATAGATAGCTTTTTGCTTTGTTTTCATGTAATATCTGCGTAAAAACTGCGTTTTATATGAAAGCATGAAAACTTAAAAGAGAATGGTGGGAAATAAAGGTGTTGGGAGGATCCTCCCAGGATGGGAGAAGCATGAGAAAAGTAGACTGTAGACTAAACATGATTGTCACCCATTGCCTCTTTTGCAAACCACAACACCCAATAAGAGAGAGAGAGAGAGAGAACAAAAGGGAATGCCCTGCCACAGAGGCAGGGTGGGATGGGGGGGATGGGGGGTGGGAGGGATACAGGGATCTGTGGTGGTGGGAAATGGGCACTGGTGGAGGGATGGTTATTTGATCATTGTATAATTGAAACCCAAGCACAAAAATCTGTAAGTCTGCAACTGTACCTCATGATGTCTCACTATTAAAAATAAATAAATAAATAAATAAAAAGAATGGTGGGGCAGGGGCAGGGTTCCATCCCTGTCATTCATTCCATATGGTCCCCTGAGCACTTCTAGGAGTAATTTCTGAGTGCAGAAACAGGAGTAATCCCTGAGCATTGCCAAGTGCGGCCCCCTCATAGATAAATAAAATGTGAGAAAAGGGAACTGAAGCAGCAGTACAGTTGATAGGATGCTTGCCTTGCATGCAGCTGACTTGGGTTTGATCCCAACCTGGGTTGATCCCTGGCATCCCATATGGTCTCCCGAGCAGCACAGGAGTAATGTCTAAGTGCAGAGCCAGGAGTGACTCCTGAGCATCTC